TATATTTAAAAATTTTAGAGGCAGGGAACTTCAAAATACTCTTTAAAAATTAATTGTTTTAACAACTTTTGGCACTGAACACGCACATTTCGAAGGAAGATATATATTTATTTAAATTTTGAAAACTAAATTCTGTCAAAGGCAAATTTATGAAAAAATGAAAGTTTTATCGTTATTTCAACGGTCAGACTAAATAGAATTTAATTCTGATCAATAATATTTATACTTTATGGGGTTTTCGGCGATTATTTCGTGGTGTTACAAATGAATGACAAATTTAATATACCTCTACACCACTTTTAATTATACTGATCGTCATATCTTGACTGGCTGAGTCCATGTAGACATGTGTGTCCGTCCGGCTGCCCATTGTAATTTGTAAACGCGATACAGGCCACAGTTATAGACAAATCGTCACGAAATTGCGCATGTTGGATGGGTTCTGGCCAAAAAGGCAATGATGCGTTAATTAATAGGGGATGAAAAAGGACCAAAAAAAAAATGATTTTTGTATGATTTTCTAGTCGCTCTAGAGGTCACAAATATGACCCGAACTCTTCGATTTTCTTTTGATGAAGATCGGTCAATATTTAATATTTTATGCACCCAGACTTTTGTGTGAAAAAATACAATATTTGTATTCTGGGGCGTACATATTTTCACCCGACGGACATAGACCCGAGAAGTTGATAGTATATCCTAAAGAAATGGTTGTCCTTTATACCCCACGCTGATCGTTTTGAAATTTTACATAATGTCCCGCTTATCGTCAAGGACGACGCCTATAAATTTTGGTAATATTGAAATCATATTTAGGGCGTGCAATGTACCGAAAACTTTATTTTTGTCAGATTTTCTAGTCGCTCTAGTGTAAAATATGTGATGTTCTACATATAAAAAATGGTTTATATGTAGAACATCACATATTTTACACGATGACGGGGATTTGATCAAATACTTAGTTGATGATCGGTCAATATTCTTATTTAATGGCGCAAATATTTACATCGGGAAAACAAGTTTTGGAAAACATGCCAGTTTTGGAAAGTGGAGTTATTGACATCTAATCGGCCAAGAGAGTACAAATATCGCGAAATATTGTCCAGGCTAAGAATATAGAACCTCAGAAAGTTAGATTTTTGTGGTAGCTGTATAGGGTATAATATCATCGGCCCGTCCGATTATACTGCTCCGCTCACTGGTTTCTTATTATTTTATTATAGATTTCAATGGACATACTCGCAAATTAAAAAAAATGCCCATCGACAGATCCCATTCTGCCTTAAACTTCATTAACGACAGCGTTCGATTTCATGCCCAAAATTTTGCATTGCTCCCCAAAATCGGGTGTTAAAATATTATAGTTATAGTAAATAGTAGGTTCAAATTAGATAAAACTCAAGTAAATCTACTGATACAATTGTGATTGTCCGTAAGTTGAGGAAGAGTTGTCTCTTAGATGGACATTCCAGCGAGATAATGACCTAAAAGATGCGCTAAAAGTGGTTACAGAGTGGTTCCTTCAACAATAAATTGAAGTTCTCCCTTGGCCTGCCCAATTCCCTGATTATTTGAAGACGGAAAAATAGCCTGGGAAGCAATGTAGCCCGAAATAATAAACAATTTAATATCCTTTATGCTTATGCCAGTGTCCTCCAGAATAAAGGATAATCAACGAAATATTGATTTTAATAGGTTATGGCCGAAACTGTATATTGCTGTTGGTTACAATAAAAATCTTAGGAGCATCTCTGGTATGTACCTATAGTGGTGAAGGGCATCATATATTTGGCCTGCCCGATTTTTATACCCTCCACCATAGTATGGAGGGTATATTAATTTTGTTCTTCCGTTTGTAACTCATCGAAATATTCATTTCCGTTGCTATAAAGTATAGGGGAGAGGGGGGCACCTTTGAACACTTTTTGCTTTCAAACCTTATAAAATTTTTTATTTTATAATTTTTGGTTTCTTATAAATTTTAACTAATAGGTACATATGTAACCTTTAGAATGAATATACATATGACATACTATAAGCTTGATAAATATATTTTATTACTGTTTTAATGGACGAAGTCAAAGTGTTCAAAACTGCCCCCCTAGGGGGGCAGCTTTGAACAGGGGTTGGCATTTTTGAACGACATGGGTTTTTACAGTGTTTATGTTCAAATATGTATGTATTTTATTCATACATATCAGAAATGCATTAATTCATTAAAAAATATATAAAAAATTCTCAAAATTTAAAAAAATTAGATCAAAAGTTATTAAAACATAAAATGACTTAAAAACGAAAATTAATATGGTGAAAAATACAGTTAATTTCGTAATCTTATTAGCCCATTTGAAATTTTGAGAAATCGAAACCAAAAGTTAAAAACTCCTTTTTTTACTCGAGTTTAATGGGCATGTTCAAAGGTGCCCCACCCATGGCATTTTACGGAAATTTAAAATAACTTTTTTTGTAATAAATATATATGAAAGAAATTACATTAGTTATGTTTGAAATGATTGTTGGAATGCAAATAATTTGTTTAACGAAAGAAAACTTTCACAGAATTCTTCCTGCGCCCTTACAACCAAAAGAAAAAAGTTTACAATGGCACTGAGAAAATATGGTCATCCATGCACAATTTTTCGACAACTGAAAAAGCAAGCCAAAGTGGTTTACGCATATAGAGAACAAGGTTGCCATATGCAAAAATGTGGTTGCGGGTAAAAATATTTTTTATGAGCGCTGTTCAAAGGTGCCCCACGTTCAAAGGTGCCCCCTCTCCCCTATATATTCTTGATCAGCTAAGACGATCTAAGCATGTCCGTCTGTCCGTCCGTCTGTTGTAATCACTCTAGCTTCTAAACGAGTTGAGATAGATCGCCAAAATTTTGCACAGAGTCTTTTGTCTGCAGGCAGGTCAAGTTCGAAGATGGGATATATCGGTCCACGTTTAGGCATAGCTCCCATATAAGGGTACCCCACAATTTTCCGTGTTTTGGGGTTCTTGAGCGCGTTTTTCAACCGAATTCGCTGAAATTTGATATATTGAGTTGCTATTGGGTACCCAATTTCTCCACAAAAAATTATACATATAGGTCCATTTTTTCTGGTAGCCCCCATGTAACGGTACCCCCAATTTTAAGTATTTTGGGGGTTTTGATCGTAGTTTTCAACCGAATTGGCTGTAATTTAGTAATTTCAGTTATTATTGGGTAGCAAATCTCTCTACAGAAAATTATAAATATAGTTCCATTTTTTCTGGTAGCCCTCCAAATGTCGGTATTTTGGGGTTCTTGAGCGCGTTTTTTAACCGAAATCGCTGAAATTTGGTACATTTGGTTCTTATTGGGTGCTAAATATCTCCACCTAAAATTATAAATATAGGTCCAATTTTTCTGGTAGCCCCCATATAAGGGTACCCCCAATTTTCGATATTTTGAGGTTCTTGAGCACGTTTTTCAACCGAATTAGCTGAAATTTGGTTTTTTGTAGTTGTTTACGGTAACAAATTTCCCTACAAAAAATTATGAATATGCACCCCCTTTTTGGGGTAGTCCCCATATAACCCGCTTTTTTATATTAAAATAGTTATGCAATTTGTTCGAGATAAAAAAACTAGAACGTAAGGTTCGATAATGAACTACATATGAACTATAACCCGTATTTAGAACTAGCCCCTGTGTGGGAGGTACCAGAAGGAGTGGACCGATATTCCCCATCTTCGAACTCGAACTATGTTTGGAAGAAATAATAAGATGGCCAAAGTTTGAATGAAATCAAAAATTTCTGAAACAAATTTGGTCCAAAGAAACATGGGGTCTAGAACCATTTTAACCGTGTCACCCTCATTGTCCATAAAGCTGAGGGTATAATTGTCCATTAAAAATTTCTGAAATTTGTTTTATAGTTTACATTGTGGTTTACATAACCGGTTTCTGGAAATGTCGATATAGGTCCACTTTTTGGTATTTTCCCTATATTTTCATTTCAAGTGCCTGTCAGTATATCTATGGTGGAGGGCATCCAAAGTTCGGCCCGGCCGAACTTAACGCTTTTTCACTTGTTTTTTTTTTTTCATTTCCTTACTGGGAGTAGCGGCAATGTATGTCCACATTTCATTGAGACCTGTGCCGTGCATTTTACATACTTGCGGACACACAAGACACATGTGTTGAATCACCATTTCGAGTTGTTGTATTACAAATTAAATCCCTGAATGGGAACACAAATATTTTGAATTTCGAATAGAAATGTAATACTTCAAATTAAACACACGTTCAACACTAATCAAAATCACACATAAAATCAATCGTACGCCTCATAAACTATCTTAACACATTGTTTTTTTTTTTAAATCTTGTTTCAAATATTGATAGCTCTATTCCATAATATCCCCATAAGTGTTATATTATATTTCTTTATAAAATTATTATAAATATTTAGTTTTTTTTTATTAAATTATTTTTTTTATTTCATTTATATATAAATAATATATGTAATTGTCCTATTCATGTATTTTGTTATATATGGAAATCAATTTTTCTCTTTTTAATTTTTATATAAAAAAAAACATATTTTTATTATCTTTGAATTTAATGATTATATATATATATAATTTTTTATATTTATGTATGTAGATATAAACAACACATTTTTCTTTAATTTTAGTTTTTTTCTTGGTTTTGACATTTGGTAACATGATAACTAACAATATTCGTATTTTCTTTGTTATAAATTTCGTTTCAGTTGGTTTGGGGGTTTTTCAATTCAAACCAAATTTAGTTTCTTGTTTTTTTTTAATTTTTTAAGGTTGAAATTTTGTTTTGTGTTTCTTAAAACTTTACGTTCTACGTAAAGTTTTGCAACTAGCGATGTTTTATTATTATTAATTTTTTAATAATATTCTTAAACTGTACATTGTCATTTTTTGTTGTGGTTGTTTTTGTTGTGTGTTTGTTTGTTACTGCAGCTGTTGTTGGTTTTTCTTACCGCAGTGTATGTCTTATTGTGTGCGCTTATATTCATGTCCGCTCGCCTCATGTTGTTGCTGCTGCTGTTGTTGTGTATTATAATAAATTGTTGAAAAATATTACTGGCGTTGTTGTTGTTCGTGTTGCGATTAAACTGTACAAAACTGACAATAAAACTATTAAATATGGCCAATGATGGTCGTGAAATGGCCAACAACACCACCGCCACAGCCAACACCACCAACAAGAATTCTGCCCAACATTCGCCAGCGGTGCTATTGACATTTTCCGCATGAAGCTCGATGCCTTGGAGGTGATGTCATTATTGTCCATAGTGCCGACACCAACACCACCACCGCGAACATCCGTTTTGCCATAAAATATCGGCTTACGAGTAACAGCATTGCTGCTGCCTATAACACCGGGCAGACCATTAAGGCTACCGCCATTCGCTCCACCACCACCACCATTGTTACCCGTTGCGATGCCATATTCAAAAGAGTTACCCATAGTGTTGTAGTGGTTACGACCACCGCCAACTTCGGATCCCACCATATTTGGTTTATGTGTGGCATGTTTATGGTGGTTGGTGCCGGAATTACTTCCTGCTCCTCCTGCACTGGACCCAGCACCGTTGGCATTAAGGCCACCGCCACCTGCTGCATTGGCCGAGGTATAGTAGACATTTGGTGTTAATGGCGGTAGAGCTAAATCTCCGTCATCAAAATCCTCTGCAGAACCATAAAGATCTTCATCATCGGGCTGATATGTGACGCGTAATTGTTTTTGCTTTAAAATGTCATTGGTGTCGGCATCAGCATTACTTCCACCATGTTTATTAACCGGTGTTTTACGACTTGGTCCAGGAATTTCTGTAAATTGAAAACAAAAAACAAGTAAGACAAAAGGTAAAATGTGGTGAACGGAGGATAATAAAAAATAGAATTATTTTTTAATAGTTGCTGGACTTTTACATAGTTTAATGGAGTTATTTAAACTTAAATGAAACACATGGTTGAAAATATTGGCTGTGATCTTCAAAATACCAAAAACGATGTCAAAATAGTTGGAAAATATACTTAGTACCAATAATTTGGGCAATAATTTTCACTGAGTGCACATTTATTATACTACAAAGTTCTCATTTCGCTATTCTAACATCCCATCGATCGGATAGACGCACCAACTTAGGTGGTCGGTTAACATTATATCAACCGGCTTCAAACCATACACGTGTCATTCGGTAAACTAACTAACTTTTTGTCCAAAATTTCACGATATATACACCCTATTGACCGATTGGGAGTCAAGAGCCTCTCTTTCTTACTCTGACATGTTTTCAGAATTATGTTTTTCCGAAGCAAATTTTTACGCCATAAGATAGATTTTTTTCAATTTTCATATCCCGCTTCTCATATAAAATTTCGTTATATGCGGAATATAACTTTATTTTTTGTCCATTTCATTCCCTACACATAAGCTTATCGTTACAAATAACAATAGGGATCTTCTTTGGCCAGAAGCTATTCTACATGCACGATTTCTTCATCCTTAACTGTGGCGTATAGTGTGTTTACAAATCATAATGGACAGATGGACGGACACACATGTCTGGATCGACTCAGCTAGTCAAAATATGACCTTCATATCGAATAAGCTTGATCGTTCAATGTTCAATGATTCAACAGCATCTTCTGGCGATGAGAACCTCAGACCACGTAGCTGTTTTTTTGTTTGTCTTTGTGCATAAGATTTTAACATGCAAAAGAAAATGAGATAGACCCATAGTTACTTTTAAGGATATGCAAAGAATAACTTTCTGATGTCTGGCAGAATATATATCGCTTTTATGGTCCCAATTAGATTAAATTTGGTACATTTCAAATGTCTATAAAATCGGAGAAGTGATCAAAGTTGTCCCCCATGTCTGCAGACGTAACATCGCCCAGGAGTTAAAAACCGACCATAAAATTGCTTTAAACCAGAAACGGCCAGACCTGGCCAACAGGAGAGATGTCGTGTTCCACCAGGACAAGGCTAGGTCCCTCACATATCTACAGTGACTCGCCAGAAACATCGGGAGCTTGGTTGGGAAGTTTTAATGCATCCGCCATACAGTCCGGACTTGGCACCAAGCGATTATCACCTTTTTATTGCATTGCAAAATTTCTTTAATGATAAATCAGTGAGCGGAGCAGTATAGTCGGACGTGGCCGACCTTACGATACCCTTCACAACTACCACGGAACTCTAACTTTCTACGAATGTTTATTTCGAGCCTGGGAGATATTTCGTGATATTTGCTCCCTCTAGGCCGTTTAGAGGTCAACAGCACATCTTCCTCACACTGGCATATTTTCCGAATATTTGTAATATTCAATACAGCTCTTCTAATTAATTGTTCAGATTCACTTCACCGTGGGTTGTGTTGTTATGTTCGGCTTATTATTGGCATAAAAAAAACACAAAAAATTATGTATTCGGTCCACTTCATTCTATAATTATAATCTGATCATCACCGAAAATTTTAGGCGTTGTCCTTGACCATAACTGGAACCTCATGGAAAATTTCAAAGCGATCAGCGCTATATTTTCGCCCTCTAGTGTGGTAATGGGTTACTAAATAATATCTGAGTACATAAGCAACGGTGAATATTTAAGTGTAACTCCCACCTCCGAGAACATACGACAATATAATTGGTATCAATTTAATGGTCAGCCACTCCTCTTGGATATACTATCAACTTCTGGGGTCTATGTTCTTTAGGAGTAAATATATACGCCATAGAATCCAAATTTTGTCATTTTTCACACAAAAGTCAAGGTCCATTTGACCCGCTAAATATTGACCGATCTTTATCAAAACAGGCATGTTTATTCTTTGGACTGATCCCCTTCTCCATGCAAAAATTCGCGGCGTTTGGGTCGTAATTGCGGCCTCTGGAGCGACCAGAAAAACCGACAAAAATAAAGTTTTTGGTCCATTTCATCCCCTAAACATCAACCGATCTTTTCCAAAAACAATAGGGGCCTTCATTGGCCAGAACCCATCTTATATGCAAAATTTCATGAAGATTGGTACATAACTGTGGCCTGTATCGTGTTTACAAATTATAATGGACTGACGGACAGACGGACGGACACACATGTCTAGATCGCCTCAGCTAGTCGAGATATGACGATCGGTATACTTAATGGTGGGTCTAGGACCAATATTTCGTTACAAACTCTTGGGGCTGCACAAAGCTATAATACCCTGACAACAACGTTGTAAAGGGTATAAAAATAGTATATAGGGAGGATTGTGAAAATCGACTACCAGAGTTTTTTTTTGCAAGTAGAGAGCAGGACTTCTATGAGAGAGGCATTATGAAGTTACCTTTAAAACGGCAACAAAACAGCCCAAATCTAGGCTTGGTAAAGTGATATTGGAGTATTGAAAATTGTGCCACAAATGATCAAATATGGGAATAAAATTAATTTTCAAAATGTTGACCAAATTTTGACCATCGGTCAACCAGAAGGAGTGGAACGATATTTCGCATCTTCTAACTTAAACTAAGTTTGAAGGAAATATTATGGTGTGCAAAGTTTGCATGGCCGCACCAGCCGGCCACACATACAAACGGAAGGACAGGTATTTGCAAATTGACTCCAAACGGTCTGAAACGGATTTGATCAAAAGAAACATGGGGTGTTAAAGCAATATTTCGATGTGGCACATTTTGCCGTAGCAAAGTGTATAGACTATCATCAATCATAAGATATTAAAATATGATTCTATGTTAGCCCCTCGGTCAGATAGGAAAGTGAGACGTGGGAACGTTCGAAAAAAATGCAATATTTTTAAAAATTTCGACAATTTTTAAAGATAATAGATCTTTGCATAAAAATGGTATTTTAAATTTGGGCTTTCTGTACCCATTCGTACCAAAAGTTACACAGAATCGATGATACTGAATTCAAACTCCATTAGATTATTTATTTTTTTTTAAGTGACACTTCTAAAAAGAGAACACCACAAACATATGTAACTAACTATAAATATATATTTTTTCTAACAATGTATTTAATATTTTTGTACTCACCATATAAACGTATACTGCTATCCACTTCACCCAGTGAATTTTTGGCAATACAACGATACGAGCCGACATCGTCCTTCTGGAATTTCCTCACAATGAGTGTCATTTTTGTTTCGTACATTGATTTGGATACATCCTGTACGTGATATTTTAACGATGACACAATCATCTCACCTGTTGACACAACAATGAACGACAAAATCCCATGTATCCGTTTTTGTTTTCCGCATTTTTTCATATGAAGGCAACAAAGGTCCATAACAGCGATGTAGAATAGTGGGGGAGAGAGAAGACAAATATTTTGTTATTTATTTACTCATATTGTATATATGTATGTACATAGTTTGTGTTGGAATAAATCACCAATATTTATTTAAATGTGTGTTTGTGTGTGGGTATGTGTTTTGTATTGGGTTTATTTATGGGATTTTTGTTAAACAAATATTGAGTCAAAGTGGAGTTGATGATGACAATGAGATTGGCGTTCGTCTGGCCATACATCTTCTATTGTGTAAATATTTTCGGAAAAGATTACAAAAGGAATTTCACACTGAAAGAGTGTTAAAATAACAATAAATGTGTGTGTCTGTGCTGGTGTGAAAAGATTCAAATCGCTTAAATGTTATATTTCGATTAAATAGAACTAAAGGGCGTATGATTTATATTTGGTATACATCCGTCACTCATACGCCACATTTAAATTGATATTGTCTTAGAAAAATATTAATTTAACAATTTTCAATTAATTGTTTATCCATTACAAAAATAACAAAGTGAAATGTAAATGTATATTTTTGTATCATCAATAATATATTCATGAAATTAATTAAACATTTTCACAAATTTAAAACAATTAATTTGCATAAAGCCCGTCTGAAATGTAAATATATAAATTCGAATTTCGATTTAAAGTAAATATTCTTCGTTATTATTTTAATAAAGTTTTTATTAAATTTCTCAAATGAGGAGTAGTCAGAATAGGATATGGTTTAGAAAGCAAAGTGATTCATAAGTTTCAATTCATATTAGCACCTTAATTCTTTTAATGAAAAATAATCAGTTTTTAGTTTGTTACTCCTTTATGAGTTGGACATGTAAAAACGTGTCAGTCGGATAAATATCATCAGCCTATGGATGGGGGTGGTCTACGGAATTATACATAAATTTTATTATTCGTTTAAGTTTTCTTTAAATTCTGTCGGTTATATGTGGGTGGCTTATATGTGGCTTATATAAGACAGCAGTTTCATTGAAATGCAAAAATATTTTCAAAAGTTATAGGCTTTGAAAGATGGACTCGAAAAGCTGATGTGCCTGATTTGCATGCTGTCCATCATTAGATGGCGCTGACGAAGAGTTTATGAAAATTACACACCTCATTTCTTTTTGTTACAACTTTTTTCGTTGTGCATATATTAAAACAAAATCGGTGGCATATGAAAGCTACAATCTTAAACTTTCTTGTGAAATATTAGGATTCAAATTTTCCACTACAATATTAATTTTTAGTGACTATTATATATTTGTAGCAATATGGGACTTATTTTTTAGAGATGCGATTATCTCTCCACATGTTATACACTTAGAGAGCTTGGTTTGGAAAACTAATGCCTTTGTTGATGCCATAGCAACTACAGTAAATAGTCTTAACGCAATTACAAAGAAGCTATTCTAAGCTGAAAATATACATTTAATGTGTATCTGTTTAACAGTTATGAAGAATCCGAGAAAACCATGGTAAACATTCTTAGATACTGTAAGATAATGGTTAATCGCGGCAATCAATATCCTTACGCCTTCAAAATTTATGAAGAATCTAAGATACCTGTGATTTTCAGTTATGAAGGCAACCATGGCAAACACTTGTGTTGATTTGAATCGTGACCATCAATAGATGGCGCTGACGACACGATCTTAAAACAGTCGCACCTCAATTCTTTTCCCCATAAAATTTTTCGTATTGCAGATATTAAAATAAAAGTGCTGTCATATGAAAAGTACAAATTTTATTAAATAAATTTATAAACTTCCAAAATCTGTAATTTTCTATTAACATGGCAACTCTGTCAAACAATCCTTGATACTATCGGATAGGGTATGATTCAGGCTATTTATATTGATTCGAATTATTTCTGTATCATTACGCATTCACCGATGATGGTAACCCTAGCAAATATTGAAAAAATCATAATATTATATAATAATTTATTTCAATATTTATATAGCCCGTTTCATCATAAATCTAACAAATCACATAAATCTAAAGGCAATAAGTCCATATTTTATAATTTCACAAGGGAGACATACAACATCCAGCGACATAAATAATTCAATTGTATATTTATAGTTTAGAAGATCCGATATCTTACTGATATTACGAAATAATTTTCAGCAAAATGTTGACCATTTTGTGTGGACGGTACCAGAAGGAGTGGACCGATATTCTCCTTCCATGAAGTGGATTTAAGTTTGGAAGAAATATTACAATGTCCAAAGTCTGGATAAAACCGGTTACTCTCTTGGAGAGTTATCGGTCGCATCAGCTAAACAGTCACACAGACAGGCATTTGCAAATTTACTCTAAATTGTCTGAAAAGGATTTGATCCAAAGAAACATATTTCGATAATGTATACAACAAAGTGTATATACCTTTATTAGTCACTAGCATATACCCGCTACTTCGTCAGCGAATGTGGGAAGTATTTAAAACCCAATACCAACCAATATTAACACTTTTAGAACCAATGTTCTCTTATTTAGTACCAATGTTCTCTTATAGTACTCAACCCTACACACAAATTCTGACCGCAAAAGAAATCATGCTCTATACAAAATTAGGTATTATTTTTTACCCTTTGCACTCTTGTTAAATTTCCAAATTTCAATTATAGCTTAACCCATATCCAAATTAAGTACCAGTTAGTAAACATAAATATATAAATTGCCATAACTTCCTACATTAACATACGAATTTCCAACACTTGCCACATACCCCAATCATAATTTCAAATTTCAGGATTCTATCGGTTCACCTAAATCCAATTTGTTTCAAATTTAGTGCCATTTAATACACATAGGTACAAATTTCCATTACTACCTACATCATGCAATCCAATGAAAATCTTATTACTCAATTTCAAGATTTCAGCTCTATCGGTTAGCTTTTAATCCAAACTGTGCCAAATATAGTGCCATTTAGTACACATTAGTAGACATTTCCAAAACTTCCTACATACCCCATTCGAACCCCCCAACAGTGATCCTAACCACCATTTGGTACCATTTAGTAAACATTATTACGAATATCCAAAACTTTCTACATAGCCCAATCCTATATCCCGACAGTGATCCTAAATTCAAATTTCAAGATTCTAGCTCTATCGGTTTACTCAAATCCACATTTGATACTATTTTGAAACTGTAATCCAAACTGTAACCCTAACACCAAATTTCAGGATACCAGATGTATTGGTTCACCAAAAATTTAAATTGTACAAAATTTAGTACACATTTGTACGAATTTTTAAAACTTCCTACATATCCCAATCCTACACCCCCACAATGATCCTAAATCCAAGTTTCAAGATACCAATTCTATCGATTCGCCCACAATTCAAACTGTACAAAATTTAGTACACAGTAGTACAAAATTTCAACACTTCCTAAATGTTTTAGTATTCAAACACTAAATCCATGTTTTAGGATTCAAACTCTATCAGTTCACTCACAATTCAAATTGTACCAATTATAGTACGATTTAGTACTTTTCGTACACATAAGTAACAAATTTTCAAAACTACGTACATATCCCAATCCTATACTCCGACGGTAATGTTAATATCAATTTTCAGGATTCCAGCTCCATTTGTACCTCTAAATTAATTTTGTACCAAATATAGCACTTTTCGTACACATGAGTACACGGTTTCAAAACCATCTCCTTATATCGACCCTACTTCCCAAGCCTAATTCGCAATTCAAATTCCAAGTTTTTACCTCTATCCGTTCACATGCTACAGAATTGTACCAAATTTTGTATATTTACGTACTTTTCGGATAGTTATAGTTCGAATTTCCAAAAAACCTTTGGTACATCTATCCTACACTCCATCATAGACCACCACCGGTTCGTCAAATACAAATGGCATCACATTTAGTTCGTTTTAGTACTTTTCGTACCGTTCTAGTACGAATTTCCAAAAACCCAGCCTTATCTGTCACATTTGGGCTAAGACCCAAAATTTCAAGATTCTAGCTTCAGCCGTTTCTTCTGTGCGTTGATAAATCGTTAAATCAGTCAGTCAAACAGTCAGTCAATCAGTCAATCCCAATCGGAATCCAAAATATCAAACTACAACCAATTCGGTTTTTATACCCTTCACCACACTGCGGTACAGGGTAGTATGGGTTTGTACAAAACAGTAGATGTGTTGTACAAAACATAATAGTGTATGTTTTTAATAGGCAAGAGGAAACCAGATAAACACGTAGTTCCTGTTGAGAATATACATAGAATCACTTTCAAAGTCGATTTATGCCTATCCGTCTGTCCGTCCATCCATGTATTTTTGTGAACAAAGTACAAGTCGCATTTATGATCCGAATACGATAGATTTGGCATAGGTCACTTATTTGGCCCAAGGACGAACCCTATTGAAATTGGGAAAATCGGCTTAGGTTTAGATATAGCTCTCATATATATTTTTGGCCGATTTTATAAAAATGGTGCACCAAACATCCAATATTTGTCTGATTGATATTTATTTGATTGCACCGAGTACTGAATTAGGTCCATTTTGATGTATTTGAAGTTTTGTTGAAATCGGTTCAGATTTAGATATAGAGCTTCCATATATAGGTTCGTCCGATTTTATGTAAATGGTGCACCAAACTCTCATTTTTTGCCCGATTGAGACGAAATGTTGCATAACGCATGGATTAGATATAGATATAGCTCCCATATATAGCTTCGTCAAATTTTAGGTAAATGGTGCAGCAAGCGCACAATATTTGTCTGATTGAGCCAAATTTTGCACAGCATACTAAATTAGGTTCACTCTGATGTATGTGAAGTTTTATTGAAATCGGTCCCGTTTTAGATATAGCTCCCATATATATTTACGTCCGATTTAATATAAAAATCCATACATGTCCCTTTCTTTCGATTTTCACG